TGAGTTTTTGAGACTTTGGGTTCAGGCTACAGACTTCTTGTGGGATGTATTAAAAGGAGTGGAGGGCTTGGATTTGAGTCTTTCAAAGCTTTAATGTAGTAAAACACTCTTTATTTCTCCTCCCAGAGAGATGATGAGAAGGCTTGGTTTGAGTGCTGCTCAGAGGGGAATCTATCCAAGGAGTACTGCAGTCCTTTCCACTGGAAATAATTTCATTTATTGCCTAAAATGAAAGATTTTTGGGGAAAGTATTGCAGCTGCTTTGGGTCTCTGCAGATCATTGCCAGAATAAACCTGCAGGTTCATGCCTTGGTAAACATTGTGTTGGTGGCTTTGAAAGTTGGAATAGCAAAGAGGTGAGGGGGGGTTGGTTGAAAGAAAGTGCTTGTTTTGGGTTATTTTGAGCAGAATTCACATAATATGGATTATTCTGTAAGGTGGTAATATGCAGTGGTGAGTCAGGGGCTGAAGTGAAGGTAGGCAGTTTTAAATTAGTCTGAAAAATAATTTTTAAGTTGGACAAGATCTTTAAGATCAGTGAGTTCAGTTCCTTACTGAAGGCTTTACCTGAGTAGGAGTTGCTGCTGCTTTGTTTTGTGCTGAGAACTGATTTTTTCATGGGGCAGGGAGGGATTTTCCCCCAAGGCAGGAAGAATGTGACGTTTGGGGTCTGTGGGCACTTCAGCAAAGGCTGAGCTGGGTTTGACATTTCCCTGTGAGCTGCTGCTCTGCAGGCAAACCCTGCTGAAAATTCCTGCTGGGAAGTGTTCCCTGAAGGAGCTTTCCTTCATGGACAGAGCTTGCTTTGTGTGTCCCTCATTTATCAGGGAATGCTGAAATGGCTCCATGTTCCTAACACAGGATTTGGGGGTGATGCCATCTGTGTGATGTGCTCTGTGCCCCCAGAGTCCATCCCTGAGAGCAGCACTTTGGGCACTGTGAGACATCAATCASCACCTTCCCACCACCCTCATTTCATTTGCAGCTCTTTTCTTGCACTATGCCTTATTTTCTGCTCATTTTAGAGCTGGGAGAGTCACTGCCCTGTGCACAGCACTGTGTTGGTGGCTGACTAATTCCATTTTGGCATCATTTTCTAAACACACAACTGTTGGTACAGCAGATTAAAAACCCAGGGACCAGGCTTCCTTGGCCTAGATTTTCCTGCTGATATTTCAAAAGCTGGCTGCTTTTCTGAAAGCCTTTCAGAGTGCTGTCAGGGTGGAAGGATTGTCCGAGCTTTCTGCAGTGTCAGAGTACCAGAAATGCAGCGTTTTCCAGGGAAAAAAAGGCTGAGCTGAGGAAATAAAACTGTTTGTCCTGCATGTGCTTATGGAGAGTGAGGGAAGGGAAATTCCCTGCATGATAYAATTTTTTTTTTATTTTTTTATTCCTAGTTGACCTCTTGGGACTGCTGAAGTGGAGATCAAACACGAGCCTCTTGCACCAGAACTTGAAGCAGCTGATGAAAGTTGATGGTGGTGAAGTGGTCAAGGTAATGAGTTCATGTCTCTAAAAATCAATGGGGTTTCATCATTTTCCTGAATCCCACACATTGAGGTATCTTTTTTTTTGTCCCCACACTTCTCCACTTGAATTGCAGCCAGGTATGTCAAACTGAGGGTGCTCCTCTCCCTGCCCTCCAAGAACATTTCAGATGTTGAGAACTGACAAAAAACACCTCAAATCCCCATTTCTGAACACTTAGGTTGTTTTTTTACCCCTTTGGTGAATATTTGTATTCAGATACACAAAAGCAAAAAAGCTTTTATTTTGCAATATTAGAGCATGTTGGAATTTCACATGGTGATATTAAATATATTTTTAATTTATGGATGTGCAGTGTAATCCTGGTTAGTGTTGCTGTTGTTTTCTTTTAAAAAAATGTTCCTTCTGGAGCTGTTTAGCTGAGCCAAGTTATTTACATTTGCCAAGGCCATGGAGTGATTGTGGAGAGCTCCATAAAGGCAGATTCAGCTGTGCCAAAGAGGAGGCTGGGACTTCATTGAAGGTGTTGCARTAAATCAAATCCTAAAGGGTGTCAGAGGATGTACTGGGGACAGATGACCCTGGAGGGTTGTGTCCTGACTTTAGGGGATTTTTAGCTGGTTAGTAAAAGCATAATGAATGCCTCAGCTTGAAAAACCATCTGGGAATGCTGCTGGTGTCATCCTGCAGGGTGGGAAAAAGGGATCTCGAGGAAGGTTTTTCCTCTGTGGGTTTGTCCTGGATCATCTGAGAGCAGAATGTTGACAGCAGTGCTGGCTCCTGCCAAGCACTGTGGTGGCTCTGTCACTTGGAATTGTCCCTGCTCTCTGTGTGACATCTGAGAGTGTGGCAGTGCTGCTGGGTGGGATCAGAGGTGGCACCAGGATGGCCACCAAGGAGCTGTGAGTGGCAGCACTGCAGTGAGTTCTCAGCTGGCACAGGATTTGGGGACATTCCCTRCTCAGGGATCTGAGCATGGCTGGATTCATGCCCAGGGCAGAAGAGGGGATGGCTGATATCACTTCCACCACCATTTTTATCCCTTTTTCACTGTTGACATTCTCTACCTGTTCCATCTTTGTGTAGCCTTCTCTCTCAGTATCTGCATTGTACTGCTCCTTTCTATTCTTCCAACTTTCTCTGTCCTTCCTGTTTTTAAATACAGCACCTGATGGCAGTCTGGAGATCTTCAGAAAAAGTATTGATGTGATAACAAAAAAATGTGAATATGTATTAAACCATTTTTATTCCTTCAACCTCCCAGTGAAAGGCCTGGTGTTCCTTTATTGCTGAGCCCAGCTGCCCATTCTGTGCCTGTTTCCAGTGTGGATGGAGGCTGTAAATGTTATCTGCCTTCTCCAGAGGCTCTGGCTCAGTTTGTGCAGAGTCTGTGGAATCTGAGCATGGAAATGAACAGTTTGGAATGATTGGTGCTACCTGAGGAATGTTATTCTGCCCCTTTGCACGGCAGCAGCATCTCTGCTGTGCTCTTCCCACTGCTGGGAGTCCTTGTGAACAGATTTAAACTTGAACTCTGCTCATGGAAATCAGTGCTGAGTGTGAAATCAAGGCTTGAGAAGCTCCCAGCCATCCTTTGGCTTCCAGGGGACTCAGTTTGTGGGACCCAAGAGTGTGACTTCTCTTTAAACCAAGAGAGAAACTTCTGCAGAGGCTCAGAACTGCTTTACACTGCCCTTTCTGCCAGCTGGCAGCAGCCACRGAGTTATTTAGAATTACAGAACCATTTAGGTTGGAAAAGACTTCTAAGATCAGAGTTCAACCTTTAGAACATCGAGTCCAGCCTTTAATGTGYTTTATTTGCACATCTTCTCTAATGGAATGAGTGAGGCTGTGAGAAGGTGATGTTTTCCTTCTGCCCCCGTGGTGAGATGATCAGCTGGCTCTTCCCCARGACTGGGCTAAAATCAGCTGCAAGGATTTGGGTTTTTTGTTTTCTCATCCTCAGCAGCACGAGCTGTGGCTCTGGGCTCTCCTGGTTGGAGAAGTTTGACATTCAGCTGGGAGTGGGGGTTAATTCCTGGCATTTGGCTGTGGGTTTAGGAGATCAGGTGAATCACACTTGATCCGGGAGACTCACTGCATTTTTAAACATTTAAAATGGCTCAACATTTTAAAAGAGGAAAGTGGGAGTCAGGCTGGTTTCCATCACTCTCACAGGATGGGTGATGGCTCCTGTAGCTGCAATTTTGGGGTCGGTTCCCTTCTGCTCGTTGATATGGTCTTCCCCAACTATGCCTTGTTTTGTCAAAAAGGCAAAAAACTCCTTTTGCTTCATTTTGCTTCCCTGTAGGGTGGCTGCCCCTGGATCTCTGGCAGTGCCCAAGGCCAGGCTGGACATTGGGGCTGGGAGCAGCCTGGGACAGTGGGAGGTGTCCCTGCCATGGCAGGGGTGGCACTGGATGGGATTTCAGGTCCCTCCCAACCCCAAACCATTCTGGGATGATTTGGGACAGACATACTGGAACAATCCCCATTTAACCCCTTCTCTCCCACCCCCAACCACCCCAAAGTGAGCTGTGATCCGTGCTGGTGTCCCTGGAGGAGCCCTGTCTGTGTGTGCCCRCTGCAGGAAGAAGCTGCTGGGGCAGCCAGCCCCACTCCAGCCCAGCTGATGGGTATTTATGGCAGTGCATGGGTTCCTCTGGGATTGCAGGGTGCTCCCCAGAGCTGGAGAGCTCCTTTGGTGCCTGTGCTTGCCCTGAAACCCCTGGCACTAATCTGCTTTTCCTCTCGTGTGCCACATACGGGGTGCCAGGTCAGGGGAGTGAAGTGAAACCTTCCTGTGGAGGTTTGGGGTTGGGCAGTGGGGTGTGCCCTCTTCCCATACGGCATGTGTGACCCTACTGATAATTGTGGAATTTTGGGGCTGGGGCAGTGGGGTGTCCCTGTTCCACACTGCGTGTGTGACCTCAGTGGGAATTGTGGGGGTTTAGGGCTGGGGCAGCAGGGTGTCCCTGTTCCCACACTGCATGTGTGACCCCAGTGGGAATTGTGGGGTTTTGGGACTTGGGGCAGCAGGGTGTCCCTTTTCCTACACTGCATGTGTGACCCTACTGGAAATCGTAGAGGTTTGGGGTTCGGGCAGCAGGATGTCCTTATTCCCACACTGCATTTGTGATCCTGCTGGGAATGGTAGAGGTTTGGGGCTGGGGCAGCAGGGTGTGCTCAGTCCCCACACTGTGTGTGTGGCCCCACTAATAATTGTGGAGTTTTGGGGTTGGTGTAGCAGGGTGTGCCCTGTTCCCCCACTGCATGAGTGACCCCATTGATAATTGTGGAGGGTTGGGGTTGGGGCAGTGGGGTGTCCCTGTTCCACACTGCATGTGTGACCCCACTGGAAATCGTAGAGATTTGGGGTTGGGACAGCAGTTCCTACACTGCATGTGTGACCCCACTGGAAATCATAGAGATTTGGGGTTGGGACAGCAGTTCCTACACTGCATGTGTGACCCCACTGGCAGTCCTGGCTCTGCCCCCTGAGCAGGGATGTTCTGGGCACCTCCCAGGGCTCAGCTCCCCATTTCCTTGGCATGAGAATTTGTGTGGTTTGTGTGGTTTGTGCTCTGGAACAGCCAGGCTTTCAGAAGTGCATGGGCCTGGGGGATGGTGTGGTGAGCCTGGAGTTTGGAAATTCATTTTGTTGGATTGCTGTCATGGATTAAATCCTTGTTCAGGTGTGCYAAGTGTGATTTCTGACTCTGGTTTTGCTGTGTGACTGATAATGTATATACAGATAATCAACCTCACTAAAAMATAATCTRCTGRAARGAAAAATGTTGGATTTTCTGKYTTTTGGCTAACTTTTAGAATGATTTTACTTTAGCAAAAATATCTGTAGAAACCTGTGTGGAATCTTAATTGAATTTTCCTTTGTGAATATGATGAGTTATAATATATAAATATAAAAATATATAATTTATAACAATATATGTAATAATGTGTTATTTCTCTGTAGTTTCTTCAAGATACACTGGATGCACTTTTTAACATCATGATGGAGAATTCAGAGAGTGAGACCTTTGACACTTTGGTGTTCGATGCTTTGGTGAGTTTGCAGCAGGGAGGGACTGGGATGTGGATACTGGAACGGGGAACAAATGATAGAGTGAAATTTAATGGAAAAGGTCTGAGTTGTTAGTTGTTATTTAATTTAAAAATTAATATTGAAAGGTTCAGATCCAAAGGGAGTTGGATTATATCATGTCATCCTCCCAGGAAATAAGGAAGGACTCAAATCCAGTCATTTAATGGATTAACAGCAGAATTTAGGACAGAAGCAGAACAGAAATTTTAATATCAGTAATGTGTCTTCTCTRAAAAGAAATGTGAATGGATAAAAATGAAAGGGTTTTTTTTTGAGACTAATACCCTAATTATGCTGGGTTTTTTCAGGTATTTATCATTGGACTGATTGCTGATAGAAAATTTCAACATTTCAACCCTGTCYTGGAGACCTACATCAAGAAACATTTCAGTGCTACCTTGGCCTACACGTAAGTTGGGAAATTTACTTTTCCTAAAATAATTTGGAGAATTTTTCCAGCTAATGTTCTTTAATTACTTGGTTCTTTAGCTTAATTAGGAATGTGCCCCTGGAGCTTGGGAGGCTGTTGAAGGAGGCTGGGGATTTCTTTCTTTCTTGAAAGAATATCAGTAAAACTTCCAGTCACGTGCAAGGAGGAGCCTTGATGGTGTTGTAATGAGGAAAGRGATGATTTGACAATTTCAGGAATTGTTTTGTAAGGGAAACAAAAGCAATTCTCACTCATACTGGGCAAAGAAATCACATCCATTTAGGGTGCTTTGAATAGAGGTTKTTTGGTGCATTAAATTGATGTTGTACCATGGATTATCCACATTACTGTCAGTGTAGGGAAGAAATGGTGAAGAACAAAAATCAAAGGCCCATTATTTGTGTTGTCTTAAGTATTTTTTGACAGTTGGGATCTTTACTGCTGCTTTAGACTGTCAGTGTTGGAGGAAAAATATATAATGGAGATCTTTGCAGTGCTGGGGGAAAAAATTCATACCAGGAAACCTGGGGTGCCCTTTGCTGCTGCAGAGGCTCTGTTAAAGGTTTGAAAATACTGATTTAAAATTGTGAAGAATCATAAAATCATGGAATATCCTGAGCTGGAAGGGACCCCCAGGGATCACCAGTCCAGSTCCTGTCCCTGCCCAGACCCCCCCCCAAAATCCTCCTTTGTGCATCCCTGGCAGTGCTGTCCAAATGCTCCTGGGGAGCCTGGGCAGTGCCCAGCACCCTCTGGGGACAGGAAAATCTTTCCCAGATCCTTTTTTAATCCCAAAAATGCTTTGATTCTTCAATCTCAACGTGGATATTTTGATCACAGAGTTTGCAGCCTCCTTGTGAAGGGAGTGGAGGGTGGAGCATTCTCCAGCCCCTGGATTTGTCAGGAAAAGCTGAAATTTGGTTGAAATGGGGAGAATCCTTCCCTCYCTGAAGGGCAGGGAGGCAGGAGCAGGGAAAAGCTGAATTCTGGCTTGGTTTGTACCATGGGACTGACAAATCCCTGCCCCCTCCCTGCCTTTTATTCCTGGAAAATCCCAACTGGAAAAAGCTCCAAATCACCCAGCCCAACCTTCAGCTGTCACTATGAAGTGAAGAGAGGTTCCCTCAGCAATATTGAAGTGATTCCTTGGAATTCTCGGGCAGTTTCAAGAGAAATTTCCATCAAATTCCCAGGCTTTGAGGTCTCCATGAGCTTGGGGTTGTTTTCTGTTCCTGGGGATGTCGTGGTGCTCGGTACCTGCAGTGGGGATGGTTTCAGATGGAATCTCTCGTGCTTGCATTAAACTCTTGATTTATATTCATTGTAAAGGAGGGAGCTAAAATGGGATTATTTGGAAAATTGTTGCACTTTGGAGTTTGATAAGCTTTAAAATTGGGCATGAGAGAATTTCCAGCTGTTGTTCTGTGCTTGGAGAAATAAATTTTGTAAATTCCAGCCCAAAATTCATGGGAAAGCCTTCTAGAAGGGAAGCCTTGTTGAATGAAGAAACTCATATTTTGTGTTTATTCTAATAATGTGTGCAATTAATTTAATTATTTTTATTATTCTGATTATTATTAGCAGGTGCATCTTCCTAACAGTCTAAATCTGAATATCCCTAAAAATTCTAGCATAAAACCAGCCATTTATTGAGATTTGGTGTCTTGCTTATATGTTAAATGAAGTTACTGTCTGTGGTTTTTCTTTTTTTTTTTGCACCAGAATAAGTCACAGCTACTAACTAGCAAAAGAACTTAATGAGTTAATGAGTTGAATAATTAATGTTGTAAATTTGTGGGTGAACAATTTTCCTTTAAACATTTCAAAACGGGAATTTTGTGAGAATACTTGTAACTTTTATGTGGTTTTTGTTTTGTATTTCAACAGAAAACTGACCAAGGTTTTAAAAACCTACGTGGACAAYGCTGAGAAATGTGGGATCACTGATCAACTCTTCAAAGCCATGAAAGCCTTGGAATACATCTTCAAGTTCATAGTTCGGTCCAGGATATTGTTCAACCAGTGAGTGCAGGGAATGCTTCAACTTTCCATTGCCAAAATTTCTCAAAAACTGCCAGAATTTTGCTGTGCCTTAGTAAAAATTGCTCAGTATTGCATATTTTGGAAATATTTTAGAATTTGTGAGAAGTTGTTTCAGGAGAAGGTTTTTTCCCTGGGAGCAAGGCAGGTTTCTGTTGCAGAAATGAATATTTTCAGTAGCAGTGAATTGGTAAAATCRTGATAGTTAGGTCTCTGAACAATTAAATCATGCTAAAACAATTTGGGGGAAGTTTTGTTGCTGATTGTGTTTTATACACAAGATGTTACAAAATTTATAAACCAGGCTGATGAGAACTTCAGCTCCACTCAGATTGAATCCTTTTACTACTTGTTAGCAGTGGTAACAACCTTATTAAAGGGATTTATGTAGAGCTCTTAAGTTACCATCCCCACCACCCTTTTCTCTAATTTAGGGCTTGTAATTTATTTCTGGGGGAGCCCTGCTGTGAGATTCATAAAATACTGAATGCCACTGAGACTGGAGCAGGTCCTACAAATCACTTGAAAACAGAAAAAAAAAATAGAATTCTCTCTGGCTGCAGATTTAGATTTACAGAGAGTCTGACCCTGCAGGACTGGCTGTGGGATTTCCTTKTGGGGAGCAGTAAATCCCATCCCAGCTCCCTGTGCTGAGGGATTTATCAGAATTAGTGAGTCCTGCACCAGCCTGGGCTTGATTTTGGGCAGGACTTAGACCCAGCCGGGGGTGATTGGGAATGGTTAAAATTCAGGAGTTTGAGTTTCARGGAGGGCTCAGAGCTGCTGCTCTGCTGGGAAATCATGAGCAGTGAGTTGAGGGTTTTGTTACCAAATCTGTATTTTTAATTCCAGCAATAGGGTGGTGGGTTGGATGGATGGATGAAGCATTTTAGCAGTTCAGTTTTGGATAAATCCGTGGAATTTCATCCACTTAAAGCCTGCTTGGCACTTYTATTTGTTCACTGTTGATAAAGGTGAAATATTACGAGTGACCTTTAGAAATATCTTTATTCCATTTCCTCAGCAATGATCCCATGGGTTGTGGTGTATTTAAAATAAACTTTCAAGGCAGTGCTGGAAGGGCCAGCTTGGTGTAAACCAGGTTTTCTCACTGCTCCAGAGTTTTGTGCTTTATCAGATATATTAAATAAAGAGATGTTATTAACTGACAATAGGAACACATTTGTGACTAACTTGTTTATTTTTATTGCAATTTCCTTTTGGAAAGGCAGAGCTTTTTGTCTGAAGCATTTTGATTTATTGGGCTGTCGAGTTCAGTTATTCTTTGTGTTGGTGGAAGTTTCCCCTCTCTAATCTGTTCAGGGGGACACTGAAATGCATTATTGARATGGGGACTGAACAAGTTTTTGTCCTGCATAACTCCAGTTTTAGCTTACAAGGGGTGTAGAAATTTGCACAGTAAAATAACAGAATTTAATGGTTTGGGGTATTTTTCTCTGTAATTTATTTCCTCTGTGTCCAGGTTAAAATTGGCATTTTTTTGTATCTGGGGCTTCCAAAGGTTTATGAG